AAGCTGCTCCCCACCTACACATCTGCTCACATTCTGCCTTACTGTGGGGACTCAATCAAACCTACATCTCCATCCAAATGTTTATCCTCACTCTGTTGTCTCCCTATGAGTATGGGCAGCTATATACAAATGGGCACACTTTATCTATCCCTTCCTTCCTAGTTTATATGTAGATTAGCCACTTACCCATTCCAGAGGGTAACTAAAGACTCAGTTTATATAAGCAAATGAAGAACACAGTTCCCCAGGCCTTAAGACCAAAGAGATTAGAGTCAAGATGGAAATCTGCTTAACCAAGTGGAGTCCTTCTTCCCTGTAGGCCCATCACCATGGAAGGTGGAAGTAACCATTCCTGGATGGTCATTTCTGGGTATCGTGCTTTGACTGGATGGAATTAAAAGCAAAACTGGAGACACTGTAAAAGTCTTAACAGATGATACAGGGCCCCTCTCCTAATGTTCCTTGAACAGAAGAGGAATGCGACAGGACTAAAGGAGCCAGCACCTTCCTCATGAGCCATTCCTCATATAGAATGGGAGAGTTTGAGTAGCCCTGAGTTAGGAAACAAATGCTATCGGACATCTCACAAACAAAAAATGCAGGAAAAAATAACAAAAACAAGATAGAAAATGATCAAATGAAAAATTCTGCTTGTATGTTGGTGGCTTCTTTTTTAATTAAGTGGACAATTTAGCCTAAGAATCCATTAGTTCTAAATTGCTACACTCTCTTACAGAGAGAGACTTAGAACATGAATCCATGACTGGCCTCTTTGACATGCAAACCACCCCACAGACTTCTTTTCATTATCCCTCTATCTTTCCCATGGGTGGGGGTTGGACTTATTGCTTCTGTCTCTCTGGGAACTTAAAAGTCATTAGGGTGAGCCTCCTCCAATCCCAGCACACTCAACCCTTCTCTGCCTTTAATCTATTAACAGAAGTAAAGGCTAACTATGAATCAGACACTCCAAATGACCCTCCTCCATCCTAGCTGACTTGTAGAATTAAATGAACAATTTGAACCAATCCAACTTGGCATGGAGCAGCCCAAAGCATCTCCCATGTACAGAAGGTCCAAGGACAGCTAAAGTGGGCCAACGACCTAAGGGCCAGTTCGACTAATGAGAACATGGGCTCTAGTGTTTGTTTCTTCAAGAGTAACCTAAACACACAGTATTTATTATTCTTTCTAGTGGAGACAGGAGAGGAGCTGAGCTGGCCACTCCAGATAGGCCATGAGCTATGGGTTTCAAAAAGGCGAAATTCCCACTGTTGAATATTTTTCGTAATGCTTCAGAAGTAGCAAACAGCTGCTTTTCTCATTAACTCACAGCATATCACAGCCTCCTGCAGGCGCTGGAGCTGGCATCCAACTGAAGTTACAAGGCAGGCACCAGGTTCACAAGCACTGGGTGGGAAACAAGCACGCAGAAGAGTGGCTGGACCAGGGGATTTGTCTGTGATACACGAAACGCAGCAACGGGATTGGGATGGCAGACCAGCAGCTAGACCACAAGTGATGTGCTAGCCCCTTGCTGCTTCGATGACACCATCGGCCATGTTGGAAAAGCCCTAGTGGCCAGGGATTGAGAGCCACCTCCAGCTAGTCAGAAAAGAACAGAGGCCTGTTCTCCAACAGCCCCGCAGAAACCCAGTTCTGCCACAACCTTGTGAGTGTGGGAGCTGTCCAGTCTCCCTCCCAAGCCATCAGGTGAGACCCCCAACACCAACAGACACCTTAATCCTGAAGCAGAAAACCTAGTAACGAGGCGTTGAGGTCCTTGATCCCCAGAAAGTCTGAAACAGTAAGTGGGCAGTGGAAGCTACGACATCTTGGAGCAATTTGTCACATTGCTAGCTACCTAACGCTGCAGGCCAGCGGCCTAGCACATGCTACTGCTAGGCACCCCTCCCCGCCCCAGCACTATCACATGATCAATACCTGCAGCCCTGGGCCACTACCATAGCACCCAGAATGGCACCCAGCATGCAGTAAGGGCTCAGTAAGTGCCTCCATTGATGGAATATTTGTGTTAATTTAAGGCAAGAGAGGCTGAAAGCTTTCCCCTTAGGTTTCTGATAGAGGTCATTCGTTCCTTAAAAACAAGCAAGAAGGAAGCCGGGCATTGGTGGCACACACCTTTAATCCTAGCACTTGGGAGGCAGAGGCAGGTGGATCTCTGTGAGTTTGAGGCCAGACTGGTCTACTGAGCGAGTTCCAGGACAGGCTCCAAAACCCTGTCTCAAAAAAACAAACCAAACAAACAAACAAAACAAGCAAGAAGGAAACACAGAGAGGGCCAGTTCAACCTCCTGCAAGGTGGTAGCCTACAGCCAGGCCAGGAAGGCAGGGAGAACAGGTCCAACTTCTGACTTCGAGTCTGAGCCTGGCCAGCATGGCTGTCTGGCTGCTCCAGGGCTCAGTTTCTTGGTACTCCTGTCTTCAGAAGTGGATGCAAATTCTAGGAAAGGACACTCTGGGGGAAGATGCCTCCACTCTCCATCAAGAAGACATGAGGTCTCTATACGCGATGTCCTCTCTTGTTAGTTTGAATATAGCTCATAGGGAGTGGCACTATAAGGAGGTATGGCTTTGTTGGAGTGGGTGTGGCCTTGTTGGAGGAAGTGTGTCATTATGGGGATGGGCTTTGAGGCTTCCTATGCTTGGGATGCCACCCAGTGCCTCAGTGCACTTCCTGTTGCCTGCAAGCTGTGGAAGTTTCACGTACCCCTCAGCACTGCATCTGCCTGCGCACTGCCGTGCTTCCCATCATGACGACGGACTGAAGCTCTGAAACTGTAAGCCACCCCAATTAAATGTTTTCCTTTACAACAGTTGCTGTGGTCATGGTGTCTCTTCACAGCAATAGAACCCTGGCTAAGACACATCTCTACTCGGTGCGCTTTTCTCCTTGGATTACTTTCCATCCTTGTTTGGGGCAAACTCTTACTCATCCTTTAAAACCCAGTCTGAGAGCAGCTCCTCCAATGGAGAGGGGTCCTCTGCACTGGGAATCTTGCTTTCTTCCCCTTCCAGTTGTAGTCTGAAGGACCAAGACAAACACTGGCAACATGCCCACCTCTACAGCTAGCCTGAGAGTTCCAGTCTCCCTGGGGCTGGTATACACAGAAGCAGCTCACACAGTTCACTCCTCGTCTTGCCAAAGCCTCGGTTCTCAGGCCCTGAAACTGGGCACTATCTGATGACTTTCCTCAGAATTAAGCAGTAGGAAGAACAGCAGGGATGTGTGTAGTGATCAGAAAGACTGTTCTACCAGGGAACTTGGGCTGAGTAGGTATGGGGGACGGAGGAGAAGCAGCTGTCAAAATACCTCAGCGGGTGGTAAGGGTCAGTTTCCTCAAGACTATCTGTTGTAATTACACAATTCTGCTGTTTTGTGCCTAGAAAAGCCAGCCCACTCCATGGGGAAAAAAGGAGGGTCCACTTCCTGCCTAGAAGAGAAGGTAGACATAGCTGCCTTGGGAACCACATGAAGTGGTTGCCCCTTGGTGTGGAATCAGGAGACTGCTGTGTCCCAGGTTGAGATGGTCCTCTGTTCAGTAATCTAAAGAAGAGCTGGGCACCTTCTGGAGCCTCATGAGAATTTGAGAACCTAGCTCAGCAAGTGAGAGGGGAAAGCATGTGCTCTCAGGCAGCCATGCTAAAGGCTAGAGTGCTTATTCACAAAACTGTACTCACATGTGTGTATCTGCTAGGAGGTAAGTCTGGAAGAATACACAGAAAAACATAACTGTTACCTACATGGGCAATCATATGTGGTCCATTTCCTTTATAGTTTCTGATGCATTCCCTTAACACCTCTACAATAAACACAGCCATGGTTATAGTCGGAGCCTGGAAGCTGTGCCATGTGAGGAAGAAATCAGATGGGCATTTCCTAGGGCTGCAGTAACAAAGTACCACACATGACAGGAAGTTATTCATCTGTCATTCAGATTTGTAAAATGTAGGTGTCAGCAAGGCTAGCTTCAGGTTCCATGCCTCTCTACCAGCTTTTAGGGAGTGCAGCAATCCTTGGCATCCCTTGGTTTGTGGCGGCATCCTTCAATCTCTTCACATGGTAAATCCCCTAACCCATCTTGCAAAGGCCCAATTTCCAGATGAAACTACAGGACTTAGGATTTCAGCATATCTCATTTGGGGCAAGGATCACAATTCCACCCATAGGAAAACATAGAAAATAAGAAAACAAAGGGCTTCAGGCCTTATCTTTAAATATCAGCTGGCTATCATAGTTTGAAATGATTAGACTGGATTGCATGGCTTACAGGAGAATGAATGAGAACAGGGTGTGGACAAAAGACAGCTGCTCTCCATACAGGAAGTTGAGCTGTTCTGACCTAGACTGGCCAACTGGAGTGGCAACCCCTCGTTCCAATATGATGGAACAGCAGGCTAAGTGATATAAAGATCCCAACAGTCTGCAGCACACACAGCATCGCCACCCTGGTAATGTCTGATTAAATGTACCAGCTTCACTCCATCCAGACCTGGGCAAGCCTTGACCTTATCAGAGCAACTTGTCAGTCATTCCCCCTACTTTGGTTTCCGGGGAAACTGGGGGAGGGGTGGTGGTATGCAATCAGAACTCCATGGGGAAAAGGACTCATCAACCTAAGCCATAAGGAATTCTGGGAGTCAGAGTACACAGAGAACCCCAACACACCTGACACTAAGCGTATCCCCAGCCCTAACACACTTGTATCCCCTGTCCCTTGGTCAGACCCACCAGAGGCAAACACCCACAGACCACAGTCAAAACTGCTGAAAAAAAAAAGGCCAAGATTTGTTTAAATGAAGGGAGGAATGCCCTAAGAATAACATTTATGTAAGAAACAGCAGTAACATCGCAAGTTAAGCTTTTTTATTATTTTTCTTAAACAAGCAAATCTTCTCTGTGATGAGATAGAAACACTGTGCTCCAAACATCCCTTTCTTTTCTCAAAAAATGCAAAGCATACACCCCCCCCACTCACCTCTCCACGGGGTCCCTGAGCATGACGATGAGCTTGGCTTCAGGCTGAAAGGCATGAATGAAGTCTTGTGTCAGGAATGGTGGCTCACCATCTGTGCTGTTGTCATAGAAGAAGGTCCAGGCATTGTTATCCCACATTGTAGAGGCGCTGGCCTCTCCTGCAAACAGACAGGGAGCAGATGCTGGGTCATAGAATATGGGCTCCCACTGTGAGCCAGAGGCCAAGCCTGGCTCCTGTGCCTTCCTCCTAAATAGCCATGACCAGCAAGCTTATCAGCCATTGTTGGCAGATGGTTCTCCGGGAATCTGGTGAGAGGACAACTGGGACCCACCTCTGTCACCGCCATCCCCAACCCCAGCTTCTTCCTTCAGAATGAACAAAAATATAACCTTTACTAACGCCTAGCACTTTAATTTCACAATATTTGGCTTTGCTGGTAGCTCACAGCTTTGTGGCATTTTTAAGGGCCCACTGAGAATCTACTAGATGGTTTCCTTCAAAAGTGTCAGGAAGAGAAAAGAGTCATTTGGGAAAGCTGACCCTCAGTGGAAAGATAGATGTAGTTCACATCTATCTTTCTGTAGAACCATAACAGTTAGTCACAGGGGACAATCTAGGACCAAATGGGAGGGAGACTTTGCCAGAGGCCCAGAGGGTCTCAGCCTCAGCCCCCAATGCCCCACATGGCCAGCTGTCTGCTGCACATAGCTCACTCCCTGCTTTTTATCCAGCCAGTACTCCCAGTACTCTGTAGTGACTGGATAAACAGGGCCCAACATTAGTTAAGCAGAGTCCGTCCTACAGAAGGATGAAAACAGTCAGCACGGCTTTGGGGAGAGAGGTGAGACTAAGACACAGCACCTAAAAAACAGAGACTTTTGGATAATTGAACTAATTATTATTATTATTATTGCTGCTGCTGTTGTGTATGAGTGTGTATATGTTGTATGACATCTGTACTCTTATGTGCACATGTATGTGTAACTGCTTATGAAGACCAGAAGTCAACAAGGAATGTCTCCCTCTATTGCTCTATCTTTTTGAATCTCTGTCTTTCACTGAACCCGGAGCTTGCCAATTGCCCAGACAGGCTGGCCAGCAAGCCCTAGGGATGCTCCTGCCTCTGGCTCCTGCCTTGGCCTCCCCAGCACTGGGATTACAGGAGTACACAGCCTGTCTTTCTCCAGGGCTGCTGGAAATCCAAAACCAGGTCCTCATGGTTGTGCAACAAGTGCTTTGTAAATAAGCCATCTTCCTAGCTGCATTTATCTTGTTTGTTTTGACTGTCTGCAGAAATGTGGAAGGAAGGGAACTCTAGGAATCTAGTAAGAGGACAACTGGTGCCCACCCTTCCATACCATCCCTATCCCCAGACTATTTCTTCAGGATGAACAAGCCTGTCAGTGCTACACTTGATTTCTGGACATGGACCATGTACCACATTTCAATGTCACTCATTTAGGGACAGTCTGAGTTAAGGGTCTTCCTGGTCAGTGATAAGCACTTTATAATCAGATAGTATTCCCTATAAGCTCATTACGGTCATGTGTGGAAGCAGTAGACCCTATAAGTATATTATAGTCATGTGTAAGACAGTAAGCCCTATAAGCACACTATGGTCATGTGTAAAGACAGTAGGCCCTATAAGCACATTATAGTCATGTGTGAATATAGTAGGCCCTATAAGCACATTATAGTCATGTGTGAATATAGTAGGCCCTAAAGCTCATTATGGTCATGTGTGAAGACAGTAGGCCCTATTCTTCTGTGAAATCTGATCATGTCAGGTGAACACTTTTATCCCAGACTTCTTTTCTTTCTTGGTTTATTTTTAAAAACATAACAAAGAGAGAAAAGACAAGTCAAATCTTAGGCAAATCTACTCACTATGAAGGAGGGAATATGAAATGGAGTGTCTAACCAGAACTGGCAGAAACTCTGCCAGATCTCAAAGGGGAGCTGGATCTAGAACCTTGCAGGCATCGGTCCATCTTCCCATGTCTGTCCACTCAGAACACATTCACTTGACATCTAATTCCTGCCCCTCATTGTCTTAACACTGGGGACCAGTGAGGGAAGCAAGCCAGGCACAGACCATCTCTTCTAAGAGACGATCAAAACTTCAAGAAGTCACCAGCTACTAAGTGAGTGGACAGGGACAAGGCACCCAGCAGGCAGAGCAGGGCCCTTAAGCATCCCCAGCCCCACCGAACCTCACTGCCTCAGTCCTGAGGCCCTGAGTATCTCTCTTGGCAGAAGCTGCTGAGAGAAGGGCCTCCTCTGACCCCTCACCCAAGCTGATGTGACTCTGTGACCTCTGCCAGGGCCTTCATTGGGAGGAAGAGCTGAAAAGGGGCTGAGTTGCATTGCAGGACTGGGAGGAGCAGGGTCCTGATCTGGTCCAGCAATCCCATCTTATAGACCCGTAGACTGAGAACAAAGACCTGACTTGGCATAGAGCGGGCTGGTGTTACAGGCAGAGACAGACGCCAACTTGTCATCTGCTTCTCCACACTGCCTGTCACACTGAGAGGCTATCATAAGACACAGCACCAAACCTGGCTTGGAGTAAATATCAGGGTAGTATTTTTATTTCTTGTTCTTTTTGAAATACAGCAGTAACTATAATTAGGAACCCAAACGAAGGCTTTCCTTTCTCATTCATTTTCCAAGTCTGTTTCTTGCCTTTGGAAGGAATATTTTTAGCTCTTTCATAGAACCTGAAATGTCCCAGAGGCATATGGTATGGAAGTCTCAGCAAAATATTAATTAGACTTGTTAAATGGGGTGTTTGCACCCCTAAGTTTGAAATTTAAAAAAAAAGTCTAACAGCCAATTCATACCATAGGTATGAGAGTGGTTAGAGTACATTCCCAGTGGATCTGGAGATTTTACTTATGAATTAAAAAAAAATCAATCCATCCATCAGCACAGGCTTTGGCAGATGCTGGAATCTGCTCGCACAGTCAGGCATAGAGTTCTCATGTAAGTGGCTGGTCACAAGCCATCCTGCTCATCCAGAGATTCATTTGATTTAGAGAATCAAAATGTAATGGATCCAGGAACACAAAATAGATCATTGCCTCAGGGAACCAATTTAAGTGAAATGTATGATTCAATTTCTCCTTTTCAGAAGGCGTCGGAGATAAACGCCTCATCCCAAGCTAAATCTGATGAAAAGAGTTCTGTCAGATGAAATGAGTCTAGCATCTAAAGCACAGAGGCAGGGCTAGAGGTGACAATGCCCCACTGTGTGCCATCATTTGTCAATGAGGGGGCCTCAGGTACTCTCCCCATTTGAAAGAATGCAAAGGATGAAGGGAGGGAGCTGTGAGGAGACAAATACCCTAATTTGATAAGCTACGGTAATCATTTCATTGTGTGTATGTATCAAAATATGTACATCTAAATATGAACAATTTTTTGATTTTCATTAAAACAATCTTGCAATTTTTAAATCAAGCAGTCTCAGTTTATTTCATCTTCCATTGCTTTACTTGTTTGGTTTCACTTGGTTTTTCTTTGTTGAGACAGGGTCTTACTAAAGGGCCCAGGCAAGCCTCAAACTCAAGATTTTCCTGCCTCCGTGTCCTGAGCACATGTCGGTCATTCAAACAACTTCATTTTGAATGCTCGTGGGTTACACAGCAACTCATCCCAGAGGGTGTGCAGAGCTCTGCTGAGACCAAAGGAGATGGAGCCCCCTTCCCAAGGTCCTCTCATTCAGTCAGTGACTCATCAGAAGGCTAACCCCGATCAGGACACTGTGGAAAAGAGCAAAGTACTCCTGTTTGAATTAAGGAAAAACAAAGAAATGGCAACTAGCTTAAAGAACCATTCCAGCCAGCCTTGAGTCTACATAGAATAAGCAAGCTGATTAAATGTTTCTGCTTTTTAATAATGGTAAAGACAGTGTAATTATTTTACCTGGGGTAAGAGTGACAGCCAGGTGGAGAAGGGACTCACCTGCAAATGCTCTGCAGATGAGGCAGAGCTGGACCCAGATCATGGACCAGGACCCCAAGGAGGCTGCTCCCACCAGTTGCCCTAAGCTTGCACGAAGCTATACCTACCAATGATGATTTTGTTCTTCTTGCTCTGCGCCTCTGCAGAGGCAGCCTGCAGTCCTTGATGGATCTGGTGTGCAGCCAAGTCAAAGAGGTCCAGGTAATCTTCCACAGGGTATCGGTCTCGCAGTCCATCCCTCAGACGGACAATTCCTATAGGAACCAAGAAGTGAGTTACTGGCCAGGTGAGTTACTCCCAGTACTCAGGGAGGCAAAGGCAGGCAGATGTCTATGAATTTGAGGCCAGCCTGGTATACAAATTTCCAGGATATCTACGGCTACACAGAGAAACCCTGTCTCAAAAACAAACAAACAAACAAAAAACAAAAAAGCTAAGTTACTGAAGACAACATTGCCACTGTTAGGGTGGTGTCCTCCATGCTCCAGGGAGGAAATGGCCAAGGGGACCTAACTTTAGGGGCAGAAGGCTTGATAAAGGTAAGCTTCCGGAGAAGGCACATGGGTATGGGATGGAGAGCTCTGTCAATTGCCTGCTTGCTTTGGTACACACATGCCTCACAAGGTGAAAGACACCACTACTGCTGGGCAGTGGCCACTTGGAAGAGGCCACATCTACTCAAGACGTAGAAAAGGGGATACGTGGAGGGCCAGAGTTGAGAACTGATGAACATTTTCACCAAGAGAGATTGAAGCAGGCACACAGCAGTGGTGCTGAGGATTCGAATGAGTGCCGAACATGAAGAACAAAAGGCAGGCAGCAGGAAATCAGCATCCTGTCACCTTCATAGTGCCTCTTTCTGCAGGGCTCCATGGTACCCAGCAGCAGCTCTAACACGGATGCATTCCACCAAGCACCCTGCTACTTGTCAAACAGTAGGGTGAACTGAGAGTACCCTGGATGGACACAGACTCTGGCATCAGCCTCACACACCTGAAATTTGCTCCCTGCTTTAAAATAGCTTGTAAACACTTAAAAAACATACACTGCCCAGCCACCACAGCCACCAAAGTTACTGCAAAGTAGGAAGAAAACAGTTCTGGCCAAAATAACAAGAGATTCAAGGTGATACTGAGTATCAGCAGCTAAGATATGCCCTGTCCTTCCCTCCTTCCGGCCAGGGGGAGGCTGGTTCTCTTTAGGAGGAACACAGGCTGCATTAGGAAGAGAGACTTTGACCAGCTACTGTTAAACCACTCCTGAGTGAACAACAAAAGGGGGAAATCAAACATTTGTCAGGAAACGTTAGTCTAAGAAAACATCCACGATTCTTTTCTAATGCTGCGATGGAAACTACCCTCATGGCCTGCCCAGACTTTGGCAGACAACAGGCCATGTATCACCCATTAGCTTCAGTGACCAAATGTCTCCTGGCAGAAGGAAAAGGTTATGGACAGGAAACAGTGACCAAGGGCCACAGGGTGCCTGGGACTGGGTGGAACAGAAACCAGCCTACAAGGAGGAGTAGAGCCAGGCGGGGTCCATGGTCAGCCGTGTTGACTGGGGGTGATATATATCCTCATTGCATTTCAAACACATGAGGTAGACAGGGCAGGTCCCACAGCTGAGGCCAGAAGCTGTGTCTCCTCCAGGTATGCTGGCCTCAATAAAGCAATCCAGAGCTGGGTGTCAGACACCTCAGTTCCTGGCATAGCTTGATCCCTGATAGGTTTGCATGCTAAAGTTCTTCAGGACAACTAAGAGAACTAGGAGTGTACCCCTCAGTAACACACACACACACACACACACACACACACACACACACACACCACTAACAACAACAACAGCAACACATTCCCATTCTGCACCTGCCCCCTTGCCCCGCACACAGCTAGCACTCAATGAGTGCTCACTAGCTGTGCCTTTGCCTGTGAAATGCTGTTATGGTTTGAGTGTATCCCCCAGAGGCTTATGTGCTGGAAGCTTGGTAAGGTTGATGCCCAGGGTGGGATGCTGAGGGTCATGGAACCCTTTAAAAAGCAGAGTATGGTGGAAGGCGATTGATTAGCTTATGGGAGCTTTGCCTGGAAAGTTTAATGCTGTCCTCTTGGAGTGACTTCGTTCCTGAGAAAGTGGTTTATTATAAAGCAAGGCCGCACTATGAACTTGGCCTCTGCTGCATATGGCTAATCACCATTTCCTATTTCTACCATCTTGTAACGTAGCCAATGGCCTCTCAACAGGACATTGACAACATGCTTTTTGGAACCATGAACCAAATAAATTCCTTTCAAGTTACCAAACACTGGTGTTTTGTCATTGCACCACAAAACAGATTAATGCAACTGTTTAATGAAAAGGGCCATGAATCTCCATGCATCTTCTCTCCAACTTCAGCCTGCCTTCTTCCACGGAATCTCACACCCACTTTTCACCAGCCACAACATGCACCCACAGAATAAATAAGAGAAAAATGAGACCCAATGCTCACCAAAGCGCTTCCTGGTCCACCAGTGGGGCTCCTTGATGGCTGAGAATTTCACTTCTGGATGCAGCCGAAGGCGGTCATAAAGATCAGTAGTCCCACACTTGGGCTGCCCAATGATATAGAAGTGTGGCAGACAGCGCAGGCGGAAGTGCTTGCCATGCACATGTGACAGGTGGCCCCAGAAGACTTTCCGGAGGGCATCAAAGGTGGAGCGGAACCGCTTGGAATAGAGTACGTAGGAGTTGGTCAAGTAGGGGTCAGTGGTGTTCCTCCCAGAGAACTCCTCATACCAACAGGGACTCTTGCTGTTCGGAAGGAATTTATTGGGGATTACAGAAAACATCTGCAATCAAAGAAAGAAGGAGACAGACTCAATGAATGAAAATGATTAGCAAAATCATTCTAAACTAGGAGGAGTGGTGACCCACACCTGTAATCCCAGAACTCAGGAGACAGAAGCAGGTGGGTCTTTGTGAGTTCCAGGACAGCCAAGCTACACAGAGAGACCTTGTCTCAAAAACAAAACTAAACAAATCTAAATGGAGGAGCTGAAGAAGTGACTCAGCAGCTAGTGTATACTGCTCTGTCAGAAGAGCAGAGCTCGGTTCCCAGCCCCCACATCAGGCAGCTCACAACTCCCTATAACTCCAGCTCAAGGGGATTCAATTTCTACTCTGACTTCCATGAGCACCTGCACTCACATACACATACACCTACACATGTATACACAAACACATGCGCATACATACACATACACCTATACAGGTAAACACACACACACACACACACACACACACACACACATGTTTTAAAATATTAAATGATGATGAGCTACAAAAGCAACTTTAACCACCATGACCCCATTCCAGGCAAGAAGTCCCCAAATGCAATGGTGAGAAGAGACAGTCATTGATTATCTCTAGTAGGGCCATTTGGGACAGCAAATTCCTTCCTTTGCATTCCATAGCATAATCACACAGCGCTATCTCATCCCAGAGGCTGTCAAATTATCCTTGTTGTAAGACATTTAGGAAATGTCCGTCACATTCCACCCATGCCCCCAAAGATGGTGGCAGAAAAGGAAGCAACCATTCTTTAAAAGCCAAACATTAAGATGACAAGACACTACTCACATGCAACTCTTGCCTCTTGAGATCTTGTAAGTCTGGGAGCTGCCTGGTTGTAAATTCAATCCTGGCAGTGATGCTGTCGATAATTAGCTTAATATTTGGATAGTCCTTCACATAGGAGATATTATTTATAGAAGGTTGGTAGTGATGCTCTTTTGTGTCACCTGGGTTTTCACTGTCCATCAAGCTGGGGTTGCTGGGGAAACCCCCATAATGGAAAGGAGATGAAATCAGAAGCTCCTGGTGAGCCCCAGATAGAAGATAAGAAGCCATCACCAAGGTCATGATTATCAATCCAAACACCAGGCTACATCGCTTCCCCTTCTTGAAGCGCAAGAACCCACCCCAGTTCTCATTGCCCTCCGTCCTCACTTCGAGAACAGCAAGCAAGTTCATCTGCCTACTGTCCACATGAAACAGAATTTTGTTTTCTCCTTTGCAAGTGGGGCACACCTGATGACTGTGATGGGGACCTCCTTGACAGGCAATTTGTTTGCGTGTGTCTTCAGGAAACAACTGTATACAGCAATTAATGCAGTGCCTCATGGTAGAGCCCTTGGACAGCTGGCTTAGAAAGCCATGGACCAGCCCTCAAGGAGTGTGCTGGGAAACTTTAAGGGTATCCTATGGTGAGAAGGCACAAGCAACATAAATAAACGCAAAGGAGAGCAGACAGCAACACACTAGAGAATGAGGCCCATTCTTTGGTTCAAACACAAAGGACAACCCCCCAAAAAGCAAATTCCAATCATCTGTTCTGCACCAGTCATGCAACACTGAAGCAGCCGTGAGTTTGGAAGCAATTCTGCTCGTGCTTCAGGTTTTTCCCATGGCACCAAAGAAAGTTGGAGTTGTATCGGTGGAGAGCATGAAGCTACACTGGAGATTAGAAGACATCATGGGATCCTCGTTGATGGGCAGACTGGCATTCCTCCAGAGTGTTTTCTCTTCCTGGGGGGCAGGTTCTTATGAATGGCAGGTGACCTAAACATGAAGAAAGGAAAGTTTGTCACATTGAGTGATAACTATGATAATGCAGGAGTTGCTTTCCAGAGAAGAGCAGATGTTAGTTCTCCATTTCAGCCACACTTACTTGTTCATAACCAAGTCACGGACCATACAAGGTAAATGGAGATGTTTGGGTGTTTGTGCTTGGATTTAGGGTTCATTCTCTGTCAACAAATGTGACCCCAAACACTACACCTTGCATGATCCATATACCCTCCAGGACCTCTGCCTTCACACATCTGAGCTATGATATCCCAGTATCTCAAGATTGTCTAGCTACAGTCAGATCCATGCACAGTCAGTTTCTTAGTTAGGTGTCTGCTGCTATGATAAAACACCATGACCCAAAGCAGCTTGGGGTAGAGAGGATTATCTCATCTTATTCTTCCACATCACAGTCCATCACTGAAAGAAGACAGGGCAGGAGCTCAAGGCAGCAGGCTGGAGGCAAGAACGGAAGCAGAGGCCATGGAGAAGCACTGCTTACTGGCTTGTTCCCCATGGCTTACTCCGCCTACTTTCTTACACAATCCAGGACCAACAGCCCAGGGATGGCACCACCCACAGTGAGTTGAGCCATATAAGTCATTCATTAAGCAAGACACTGTTCTAAAGACATGCCTACAGGCCAATCTGATGGAGGAGTTTTCTCAATTGAGGTTTCTTTTTCCTACATAACTGTAGCTTTTGTCAAGGAGAGAGAGAGAGAGAGAGAGAGAGAGAGAGAGAGAGAGAGAGAGAGAGAGAGAGAGAGAGAGCGAGCCAAGACAATCAGTGACTTCCAATTTGAGAGATGAATCAAAATACCACTTTTACCTCAATGATAAATGTGAAACGTGGTAAGAAGAGGGAGGGGGAGGGGGAGCAGAGGGAGGCAGGTTGTCGCTTCACAGCTTCTCTAGTTTCTCCGCTACAGCTAAAGAAGCAAAAGTTAATGAAAATTTAGCAACAATGGAACGATCCTCTTCTTCAGTCAAGTGTATCATATTTAAAAAAATCTGACTTTAAGTTATTAAGCAATTAAATCCAATGTACAGAATTCCCCTGAGCCACGTAACACTTCAGACCCTGAAGTCATTTTTCACTTTCATCATCCAGGGAAGACGCAATTCTTAAAAATCCATTAACATAATGCCATGGTTCTAAAGTGTATTTTCTTCCCAAATGGCACTTCCTTGGAGATGCCATTAAAGGAGCAATAGATGAACTAATGAAAGAGCCTGACTTGGCTTCTAGCTGCCATAAATGCCCCCCACCCCCACCCCGCCATGGCCCCTGGCTGTGTGATCTTAAGCTGTTCAACCTCTCTAAGTTCTCACCTCACCAGTAAAACTAGAATAATAGCAGTATCTCCTTGTAACCCTTTTTAAGACCCGAAATTAATTAATGTGTGCAAAGAGTTTGCATAGTCCTGATATCTGTTTAGTGACCCAGGAAATGTATACAACATGGATAACAGCATCATCACTGGCCACATTGTGATCTTTAATTGCCCCTGAGTTCTAAAAGCACATGATATGCACTCCCGGATGTGAGACCTAAGCACATTCTTTTTCCTCAAATTACCCAAGGGTGGTGAACTCACCCCTCAAACAGTCCTCGGTCCCCAGAGAAGTGGCATTAACCAAGCCTTCATTACTACATATTGACTAGAGATCTGAACAGTCACAACCCTACAGTAGAAACCTTCATGTCACTTGGATCCAAAGCCCATGTTTTCTTGAAATACGTTGGCACAAAGTGGTGTTTCTTCTACCCACAGAGTGTCCTGCATGCTGCCAGCATTTGTGCTTAAATATTTATAGGAGAGGAGAGCTGGAAAGGTTCTATACAGTTCACTATAGCAGCACTTTGTGGATCTTCAAAATGAAAATGAGCCTTTGTGACTCCGCAGCCAGGAATATAATAAACAAAAGTTGCATTGTACAGGACTGGGGGGGGGTGGCTAAATGGATCACTCACTTGATATACAAGCGTGACAACCTGAGTTTAGATCCCCAGAACCCACAGAAAAGCCAGACACCTCATCTCACACTTTGTTAGTGGAAAATGGGAGGCAGAGGCAGGAGAATTGCCAGGAGTCAGGAGACTAGCTAGTCTGGCATATGCAGCAGTGCACAAGAGAGACGGCCTCAAACAAGGTAGAAAGCAATGACATGTGAGATCATCTGACCACAGTCGTACCAAGGCATAGGCTCCAAATTCTCTCTCACACAGACAGACAGATAGACACACTGTACATACACAGACACACACACACACACACACACACACTGCACAAACACAGGAGTACACCACACACGCATGCACGCACCCACGTGCAAACGCACACGCACACATGCACACACACACACCATATTGGCCAAGGAATTATCATGATAACCAGGAGGCCGCATTGAGAAGTGCCAGTCTAAGGGGTTAGAGTCAGGCAGAGCCTGGGACAGCTGGAGGAACAGACTTGAGGAGAGTGGGAGGAGATAGCCTGGGACCAGGCTGGGTCCCTCTCCTCCCTTAGGGCAGCTGGCAGAATACATCAGGAGCCTCTGCTTCCAGCTTGCTCTATCACCCCTGACCCATTGCTTGGTACAAACAATTCTTCCAAATGAAAGAAACAAAAGGGTAAGGTCCCTCCTTGGAAACTCTATCCCCTGAGGCCAAGAAAACATTTTTTTTCACTTGTGAAAGACACAGCCAAGGCAGGGTTAAAAATGAGGCTTCAAGCAGAGACTCAGTGGGAGGGTGTTCAAGCCCTTCTGTCTTACTGTTAGATTGTTAGGCTTTTCTTTTAGAAAGAAACAACAACAACAACAACAACAACAAACATGGCCTTTAAAGTCACAGAACAAGAATGTATATCATCAAGATCCAACAGAATGGGCAGAACATTTCTAACCAAGAGCTAAGCTATCTTATTTCAAGCAAAGTAAATAAACCTCTGGAATGGGGGAAGCTAAAAATCTTAGTGGGGGTGGATGGGACAGAGGACAGGCTCCAATTGCCCCGTGGTCCTCTTCCTAGCAGCTGTACCTCCATCCAGGCAAACCACTCCAATACTGGCTTCTTACTCATTAAAGAACCAGGGAGACTATTCTCAAAACACTCTAATACAGTGTTCTCATTTCATTCATTCATTCATCCATTCATTCACTAGTTCAGTTCACACTTTCTGAAAGCTAACTGTGTGCTGGGCACATCCTAGGATGGGGACCAGAAGTCAATATAAGATGCAGCATGTAGGGACACGTGCTCAGATATGTACAGTTCGTATTTAGCCTCAGCTCCCAGCATACAGCTTATAAAGTGCTAGGAGCAGCCCCTTCCAACCACACCCAAGTTTACATTATTGAAGCTGAACCCTTAAGGGGCTAGGAGCCCAGGAGCTTCAGGATGGGGGCGGGTAGGATGAAGAAGAGGAAACCAAATCACTGGTGACAGATGATGCAATAAATCTCGGCATGTCCTGAGACCTCTGCCCAAACTCATAACCACAGGGACCTGAGGGCTTCAGGATTAATAAGCACACAGAGGTGGGCAAAGGTGGGGATCTTGAGGACTTCCCTGTGCCCGACTGGCTGTGTTCCTGCTGGCCAGTCCACATTCTCCTGATGAACTCCCTTCCTGGAGAGCAATGCATTCCTCCAGGGACTTACTGAAGCTGCTCCCTCGGGAAACCCTGGGAACCTTAGCTTCTGTGGTCAGTCAGGAGGCCAAGTGTGGGTGTTGGGAACCCCACACTCATGACTGGGATAGAAAGTGGAGCAGTCTCTTGGGAATGAGCCCTCAGACTCCAGGCATCTGGTATGGACCTGGAATGGCAGGATGCCAGGACAGTGTAGCAAAATTGAAGACGTGGTTGGTATTGGTGACACTTCTGGAGGAAGGGGACCGTGAGAGTATTCTTCAAGAAAAATATATAAAACTGTCTGATTTGGGCTGGAGAGATGGCTCAGAGGTTAAGAGCACTCGCTGCTCTTCCAGAGGTCCTGAGTTCGATTCCCAGCAACCACATGGTGGCTCACAGCCATCTGTAATGAGATCTGGTGCCCTCTTCTGACCTACAGGAATACATGCAGGCAGAACACTGTATACATAATAAATAAATAAATCTTTAAAAAGAACTGATTTTTACAAGGACTGCTTTCCTGGTTTTGTTGTTTGTGTTGTTTGTTTTGTTTTTGTTTTAACCAAAACCATACAAACACTCTATTATATATAAAATACATCTCCGTAAAGTTATTAAGGCCCATCCCATGACCAGGTAATGGGATCACTGATGTCCTGAGCGCAGGGTGTGGACCTTCATTGCCTCTGGACAAGCCATTCCCTGGGTGGACAAGAAAGATGCAGATGGGACCATGACGGAGGTTTCTCTCCACCTAACCTGACTTTAACTCCGCCTTGGCCAGGGGTGCTGCAGGGGCACAAGATAGCCTCAGGTGACAATAAGAGGCTCAAAACAGTAAAACCATTAGAAGTCACTGTTCAGTGCCACAGTGCAGAGCCTGGGTTGGATAATTCCTCACAGCACAGGCTGCCCCTGCCCTGTGGGAAGCTCAAGGTGTTTAGCAGCATCCCTAGCCTCCACTACTAGGTACTGAGATAGGGCAAGCAAAACCAGGTCCAGACATAGGCCAAGGTCCCTTTGGGGCAGTCTCCCCCAGGTGGACCTGTCTTAGAGGAAGGAATTGGATGCATATTGAGCAGAGACTGACTGACTACAGACACCACTGAGCGAAGCCTGCTGGACAGGAGAAAGCCCAGGTCCATGCAGATGGAGGAAGCAAGAGAGGGGGGGAGCTCTGGGGGAAACCAAAGCCCCTGAGAACTCCCTATGGTAGATCCTCAGGGACCTGTGCTGGCTTGGAGGAGGTATCAGTCACATGGGGGGAAAGATAGAGATTAGATCCTATAAGACCTTGAAGACTGGAATCGGTGGTGATATTGGCCCAAGCACATAAAGAGAGGCATGTTACAAT